TTCTCTCCTTTGGGGTGTTATGGTTTGCAAAGCAGGTAGTAAGCGGCCAACATGTTCAGTCCATAGTCTACCTTTAGCAAGCATCTCCCATCCCGAGTGAGCCCTCCAAGCATCATTCACTTAGTGGTTCCTTCTCTATCCCAGCTTCCTTTCCCCCCAGCATGTGGGGCTGGCTTCCGAGCCATGGGGCGATCCTCCTGGCCCTTATCTCTATTATCCTTGGGTGTTAGTCTCCCATTCTGTTATTTTATATTGCACAAATGAGTGCAGTCACTCTATGTCTGAATCACTGACAACTTTTAAAGTGTGTGGTCAGATGTTTTGCAGAATGTCTCATTTGGTGTGTCTGACTATTGAATTTAATGTTTAAAATTTCTTTAGGGCTGGGTTAATGCACTTACCTTGCATGAGGCTGATACCAATTTAATTCTCTGCACTGTACAGTTCCCTGAGCACCCCTGAGAGTGAGTAACCCATGAACACAGAGCCAAGAACAACCCTGGGCACAGATGGTGTGATCCAAACCCTCCCCAATTTTTAATTAAAACTTTATTGATTTACCATTGGGTTACAAAGATAGGTACGTTCCTGGAGCACAGGGTCATACCCTGGTATGTGCCTCACTGTACCTCACCATGCTTCTTACTCCATTAGGGGAAGGAGTAGAGATACCCTTGAAGTGTCACTGCTTCAAATCAAAAGCATTAGGAAATATATTTTCAGTTTATGAGAACTTTATTCCCTCTGCAGCATTTTATTTAAAATATGTTGTATTTTGTCTAAATTATTTATGACAATGGTAGCTGCAACATGATACTGCCAGTCCTGCTTGTCAGGAAGAACTTTTTCTCCTACCCACCCACCCACCCACCCACCCACCCATCATACATCCATCCACCCACGGTCCATCCATCCACTTATTCATTCACCAACCTATAAAAATCCAACATCTACTCAAATCCATCCTACCCACCCATCCACTTAACTACTATCTATTATGATCACCATGAACTCGGGTTCCCGCCCCCCCCCCCATTTATTTATTTATTTTACAAAGCTCTTCATCATTGGGTTTGTCATACAATGTTCCAATACCCATGTTTCCAATCAGTGCAATTTTCCAGCACCAGTACCCAGTTTCTCTCCCAACCCTCCAAGCCCTCACCTCACCCTCACCACTGCCTGCCTCTATGGCAGGCACCTCCTCTCTCTCTCTCTCTCTCTCTCTCTCTCTCTCTCTCTCTCTCATTTTAGGCATTATGGTTGGCAATATAGACACCGAAACGTTATCATGAATATCCCTTTACCTACTTTCAATAGTCAGTTCCTGTCCAGAGTGATCATTTTCCAACTAATGTTGTCCTAATGGACCCTCCTCTATCTTAACTACCCCCAACCCCCCACCCCCTTGTGGTGCTTTCCAGCCTTTGACCAATGAACTCAGATTTCTCAGAGCTCAGTGCTAGGAAAAAGAAAGCTCTAAAAGCCTCAGTCCTCCGTTAACCGTTCTTTCTTACAACATGCCTTGCCTGGTAGAAACTCTGTAGTACAGGCTCATTTTTAATTTTTTGTCTAGGTAGTCTGTAAACTTTTAAAAGGTTTTTCATGCAATGCCCTCCAAAAGTAAATACAATTAAGTTTTGGATGAAGCACTGGTTTGAAATATCCAAAGCTTCATCTTTGGGATGGATAGTTCTGAGTTGGCTGCTGTTACAAAAATGGTCACTGAAAGATTGCATTCAGTCAGAACCATCCAATGTAAGCTTACAGTAGAACATTCTTTGTGTATCTCAGTCTTGATCTTGGTTCTTATTGGAAAAAAAAAATCAGATAATCTTGATGTTGACTCCTGAGGCAAGTTAGCTGGGCCTTGAGTGTAGATGGAAGTCTTAAAAACCAGGGTATGTTATTATTACTTTAATTAAAGTTACTTTTTAGTTCCAAATTCAAATAAACACATTTTCTCTCAGCTTTTTAAGACAATACTGCTATTTCAATTTTGGGGGGAAAGTGAGGTTGTTTTCCTTAGACTGCTGTTATTATAAAGGCAAAGGTCTGAGTTAATCCAGTGTTTGTTTTTCAAGGAAAAGCAACAACTTACATAGCAAACGTGAATCACCAAAATGCTTTTTTTATTTGTTTGTTTTAACCACATCCAATAATACTCAGGGTTTACTCCTGACTGCACTCAGGAATCATTCCTGGTGGTGCTGGGGTTGGGGGTATGTGTGTGTGTGTGTGTGTGTGTGTTGGGGGGGGGGCGTGGTGGACCATATGGGATGCTGGGATTGAATTTGGTTTGGTTTGGCTCTGTGTAAGGCAATCAATTACTCTACCCATTGGACTTCCCCGCCCCCGACTCCCAAAGAGCTTTGTAAATGGTCTGATGTGTTCCCAGTAATTTTCCGGATAACAGGATGTTATTGATTCTAGAATAGTGTCTGCAAACACACACACTGATGTGCTTTTTAAAATAACTTTTCTCAAGGGAAAAAAATCATACTAAAAAGGAAATTTCAGGGGGCTGGAGCTATAGTACAGCGGGTAGGGCGTTTGCCTTGCATGCGGCTGACCCGGCTTCGATTCCCAGCATTCCATATGGTCCCCTGAGCACTGCCAGGAATAATTTCTGAGTGCAAAGCCAGGAGCAGCCCCTGTGCATAGCCGGGTGCGACCCAAAATGGAAAAAAAAAAAAGGAAATTTCAAAAACTATTTGGGGGTCGGGGCGGTGTTTTGTCTGTGCTAGGCAGTGCTCAGGGCTTACTCATTGCTCTGAACTCAGTCATGCAGAGCTCCTGGCTATGCTCAGGGGGACCACAGAGTGCTGGGATTAAACAGGGGCCAGCTGTGTACAAAGTGAGTGCCTTACTCCTGTACCATCTCTCTGGTCCCTTGAGCAGCAAGTTTTTAATTCAGTCATTCCTTATAGAGGACGGGTGGGGCTAGGGGAACCATGTGGAACCTGGGCACAAGTTAGGACCCCGCAACCTATGTCTCCAGGCCAAGGAGGATTGTATTTTTGGGGACCTCCCAAGTGGTGCTCAGGAGGTCTTGGACTCTTCCCGGCAACTATGGCTCAATGCAACGGTCCAAGAATGTCACGAGGTTTAGGCTGGGGGTATCCAGGCCACCCAGTGCTCAGGAGCCTTCAAGGATGCACCAGGAGATTTTTGCGGGACCTTGTGATGCCAGGGATCAAGCCCGATGACTGCACACAAGGGACGTGCCTTAACCCCTGTACTCTCTCTTGGACCCTGAGTTTAACTTTTAACATGAAATTACAAAATACTACTATAGTGGGTCTTTGGGGAGCCAATCTGGCTTCATTTTACTGTATTTCAGTTTGTGGTTTGGGGGCCAGACCCAGGAGTGCTCAGGACTTACTCTTGGCTCTGTGCTCGGGGATCACTCCTCACAGTGCCTGGGGATTGAACCTGGGCCAGGTGTGTGCTAGGACAGCGCCCTACCCACTGTGCTCTCCATCCAGCCCACGATTTTACATGCACACATCATGGGAGACAAGTCTCTTCAGATGGTCAGACTTAACCAAGAGGCTGGAGCTGGATGCACCACGTGGTCAGCACAGATGTAGCAGGGCACTAATGGCTCGTTCTTAATTTCCAACCCAGAACACGCAAGTTCCGTGCATGTCCCCAAATGACTTCAACACTCAACACTCATATTCAACCCCTGGCCTCTTCACTAAGACCCCCTGAGATGGTCCAGGCACTGGAGCATCTGACTGGTCTTGCATCCTTGGGCCCTTGCACAGAACTGCCATCCTGATTGGCTGAGACTCCCCTGGTGGAAGCCTCCAGAAAAAAAATTTAAAAAAATATATAGAGTTCGCTGGCATAATGGGTATCCTCATTTAAAGTTCAGCCATTCCAGTGGTGTTGAGGGATAAGAAACTTTTTTTAATTTTTTTTTTTTTTTTTTGCTTTTTGGGTCACACCCAACGATGCTCAGGGATTACTCCTGGCTCTGTACTCAGGAATTACTACTGGCGGTGCTTGGGGGATCATATGGAATGCCGAGGATTGAGCCTGGATTGGCTGTCTGCAAGGCATTTGCCCTACCCACTGTACTATATAGCTCCAGCCCCAGGACACTAGTTTTGAGGGTGGTTTGTTGACAACTCATAAAAAGAAGTTCCTTTCCAGTGACCAGAAGTCTGGATGTTGTCTGTGGCTAATATCTATGTGAGTGAGTCTCTTGTCCATTTCTCTTCTTGTACTTTCTGGTTTTGTATTTTCTGTGGCTTTTGGGGGTCACACCCGATGATTCTCAGGGTTTACTCCTGGCTCTGCACTCAGAAATCACTCCTGGCCTTGCTCAAGGGACAGTATGGGATGCCAGGGATTGAACCTGGGCTGGCCGTGTGCAAAGCACATGCCTTCCCTGTTGTCCTATATTGCTCCAGCCCCATGCTTTCTCGTTTACTCCCAGGCTTTAGGAGTTTTCCTGTACTCTAGGTACTGGTTTTCAAGCTTCATCTCTCCCTTTTAGGCTTGGGGAGTCTCTACCATGGGGATAGACATGGGGAAAGAGGCACAATCTGGTGTTTCTAACTAATTTCTGGCCAGGCTGTGGCCAGTGGCCCCAGGACCCACACTTTGAGAAGCAGTGTCCGGGGGGCAATGTCTGAAGTGGAACTGCCGTATATGTTTCTTCTTGGCATAGGACAAAGCGGCCTTTCCAAAGTTAAAAAAGAAAAAAAAAAAAGCACCCATCAAATACATGTTCCAGCCTGGGTTAGCTGATGCTCGTTTCCTAGAAGGGGCTGGAGGCTGTTCCTAACACTGCAGGGGCCATGCAGGGGAAGGAAGGGCCCCGACACCAACCGAAGCTGCTGGCTCAGCATTCCCAAGGAGCTGGAGAGCGAGCGCTAGGGAAGAGATTGCTTCTGATCTCAGCAAAGACGCTGGCTCTCCAAGGCATGGGGATGAGGCGGGAGGAATCCCCGGCGGACAGAAAGACGGCTCGTAACAGAGATAGAAACTCTTTTATTTCAACTGAATTGCACTTCCTTACAAAAGTTCTATGATGCCCTTAACACAGAAATAAAACAGAAACTTGTTTCTTGAACTGCCTTTAACCACGAAAGACCAAATAAAACGTCTTTTACATTTCACAGACCCCCACAGTGTGCACAAACCTCATTATTATCACCCCTGTCGTTTCCCACTCCTGAAAGATTAACCACTTTCATGCACTCCACACAAACCCTATTGCTAAACAGTGCAGTCATTCAGCCCCGGCAGTGTGTGTGTGTGTGTGTGTGTGCACGTGTGTGCGTGTGTGCATGTGCGTGTGTGTGCATGTGTGCGTGCACGCGTGCACACATTTTTAAGGCTTGATTCTGTAAAACCTCCATGTTTCTCTATCAAAGAGTCCAAAACCCCACCAGAGGGAGGCATGTGACATATGCAATTGAAGGGTGGTTTACGCCTTATCCGGAGACGTCATGCATTTCCTTAAACCACGTCAGTAAAACCCGGAGTCACTTCAACAACATATCAGAGTCAAGACCATCGAGAAAAAACTCCAGACCCAGTGCTCATGTCCAGCAGTACCGGCGCCAGCGAGGAGCATGCCTTCACAGCCGCATCCATCAGAAAGCTCTTGCAGAAATGGCTCTGGGTACATCGAGTGTCTCACCAGCAGGGGTGAGGGTCTCCCGCAGGCAGACCCTTCAGGAAACCTCCTGAGACCCCCATGCGGAGTTCCAGTCTGTGCTTGGGTGGATCCTGTTCAATGCCGAGGAGCAAACTCGGGGCCGCACACATACAGTTCCCATCGCTCTACCACCGAGCTACCTCCCCTCCCCCCACCCCCACTACAGTATTTTTCTTTGGGGGGGGGGGCATTGTGAGGAAGTAATAGATCCTCCTAGTCCGGTTAAAGAAAGTCATGAGACAAATGGCAACTTCACACGATCTTCAAGTAAAAAGAATCCCTGATATAACTGGAAAGTAACATGCAATTTTGGGGGGAGGGTAGACAGTAAAATTTAAAAAAACAGAAAATCAGCATCAACTTTGTTTTATACCTTACAAAAGGAGCTTTGGCTCTGAGTCTCTTAAGGCACAAAACCTGGTAGACAGCTTGGATTGGTGCCCCGCACCTCTGATTCGGATAAGAAAACGCACACCCACACCCACACCCACACATACCCACACACAACCACACATAAAACCTCTACCAGTTAAATAAAAATAATAAATCATTTTGTGAAGAGTGTAAAATGAATGGGTAAAAAGTTGGAGGAAAAAATATCCCAAGAAACTACAATCTCGTACATGTAGGTGCATTGGTCACTAGACTTAAAAAACAAAAAAAACACAGTTGACATAGTGCAAAAAACGATTGGAGAAATGCCTTTGGAGCAGAGCGGACATCCTGGAAGGATCACAGAGCAGTCTCAAAAATAGTTAACGCCGAGGGCTGTCCGTTGGAAGCGTTTATAAGCATGTGGCCATTGTGCGTGATATCCGGATAATTCTTTCTGAAATAGACCTGCAAAATAAATAGATAGATGGATAGATAGAACTGAAAAGGTAGCACTGTAGCAATGTCCTCCCATTGTTCAACAATTTGCTCACGCGGACACCAATAACATCTTCATTGTGAGACTTGTTGCTATTTTTGGCATATCAAATACACCACAGGGAGCTTGCCAAGCTCTGCCATGCAGGCGGAATACTCTGGGTAGCTTGCAGGGCTCTCTGAGAGGGACGGAGGAATTGTACCCGGGTCAGCCACGTGCAAGGCAAACGTCCTACCCGCTGTACTATGGCTTCAGCCCAACCATAAAGGTAGGTGTATAAAAAGCAGCATTTAAAGTTTTCCCCTTGGGGGCCAAAGTAATAGAACCAGGGGGAAGGCACTTGCCTTGCATGCAGCAGAGCCAGGTTTGATCCCAGCACTGGGATGGTCCCCTGAGCACCACCAGGAGTGATCCCTGAGCACAGAGCCAGAAGTAAGCCCAGAGCACTGCCAGGTGTGGCCCCCAAAATAAAAGCCAAACAAATAAATAAACAAATAAAATGAAGTTCTCCCCAAGTTGATGCACATAGTTCTATGTCCACTTCTTGTTAGGAAGGAAGTTCTAACACTAGTTAAGGCACAACTGAAAATGCAAACAGAGAGAGAAACAGGATCGAGTCTCTTCTCCAGTGCAGGGCCCTCCACAGCCTGGCCAGGCTTCCAGCTCAACAACCTGTAGGTCCATCTTAGTGTTTCGTCCCCCTGATCCTTCATGTTCTTTTTTCTTTTTTACCATTGCCTGAAATTGATAAGCAAAATCTTTTTTTTTTTTCCTGCCTCCAAACTTGGGAGATAAATGAGAAACAGGCTAACAAAGGCACAAGGAGAGGCAGTGTGTCTGCATGAGGCTTTCTCATTTTCACACAGAAAATGAGTACAATACACCGTGGATGTTAATATCAGGTTGTAATCCCCATATTTTATAAACTCTGATTGACAAGCATTGAGACGCAAGCGTTTGTGGATGAAACTGGCCCGCGTTTAATTTGTGCGGTAGACCCGTTATGAGGCCCATAGAAATGTGATCTGCGGATAGTGGGCCCACAATGCCGCAAAGAGCCAAGGCCTCACAATGATCCAGCAAGCAACTTCTCTTAAGAACGTGAGATGATACAAAAATAATAGGACGGTTCTTTGCCGAGCCTTTGAGTTCCTGAATTCTGCCAATTTCGAGCTGAACGAGCGAGAGATAGAGGCCTTCTGATAAATGTATAATCAGAACATAAAGGAAATGAAATGCTGTCAAATTTCTCTGTTCCGCAATCACCCGTTTTTTTTTTTTTTTTTTTTTAGGGGCTGTATCCTATCTGGGTCCCTTGACAGATGCGCCTAACAAAATGAAATAATGTCGAGACTTTGAGCTCTTATCTCGAAATGTGTTTGGGTGAAAGAAAGGACTTCAAATGGAATTTTTTCCCCCCAAGAAGAATGGGAAAAGTTTTGTTTGCGTCTTTAGAGCCGAAAACGCTCAATCGTGCTGAGGCTGTCACGTGTCACCAGCAGGGACTCCGGGATGATGGGATCTGCCTGAGGAAACCGGGCTCTGATACAGGTGTGGTGCTGCCGACATAGCGAGCACAGGAGGAGAAAACATTCAGATGCGAAAGCAAAGCGAGCGCTTTACACAAGCGGAATTTCTCTGTCCCGGTCACTGTTCTCTGGCCTCCAGAAGCATCGGCCTAGGGAAAACACTACTTCAATGTTACTTGAGGCAGAGAAGATTCAAATTCTCCATCCATGCAGGAACCCACAGTGGTATAAAGCCTGAAGGATTATTTTTACATGATGCAAGTGTTTAGAAATAAAGCCCTTAATTGCTTCAAGGGCCAAAATGCTGATTTGGTGTGCAGAAGGCCCCACCTCACGTGATCCCCCAGGTACCAAGTACCCAGGCACTGCTGGGTGTGTCCCTCAAGCCAAATCCAAAGAAAAAGATCTTTAGGGGTCTCCATTCCTATCAGCTCCTTGCTCGGCTGTTTTCAGTTACTTTCGTTCTGTGTACATTTACACTCACATAAGGGGGTCAGGGTCGGGTGGGTGTTATGTGTGGCTATTTTTTGGTGAAAGTAAAAACAGTCAGAAGAGCAAATGGGGGGGGGGCAGAGGGATAACACAGGGGTGAGGGTGCTTGCCGTGCTCGCGGCCATCCCGGGTTCATTTTTCAACCATCCCATATGGTCCCTTGAGCTGCCAGGAGTAAATTACTGAGTGCAGAGCCAGGAGTAACCCCTGAACACCTCAGGGTGTAGCCCTTAAACAAAAAACCAACAGAGCTGGAGCAATAGCACAGCGGGTAGGGCGTTTGCCTTGCATGCGGCTGACCCGGGTTCGATTTCCAGCATCCCATATGGTCCCCTGAGCACTGCCAGGAGTAATTTCTGAGTGCAGAGCCAGGAGTAACCCCTGTGCATTGCCGGGTGTGACCCTCCCCCCAAAAAAACCAAAAACCAAACAAAAAACCAACAACAAGAGCAAATGAAAATGAAACCCATTTCCTATTGCTTTGACTGTCCTCTCAAAATAAACTGTCTCAGTGTACCTTGTGATGAGCAACCTTTGTTTTGGTTTTGGGGGCACATCTGGTCAGGTTGAGGGGCTATCTCCCAGCTCTGCTAGGGGTCACTCCTGGCAGTGCTTGGCGGGGGGGACCCTGTGGTGGTGGGGATAGAACTTGGGTCCCTGGCATGCAAGGCAAGTGCACTGACCCTCTCACCCAGGACCCGGCCCGTGCTTAGCAACCTCTTATGGGACGGGGCTTAGCTTCCTGGCCCCAAACACTTGAAACCGAATCCTGGAAAGCAGCTTGCTGTGTATAAGTGCTTTTTTTTTTTTTACTTTGACTTTTGCATTTTGGGTCACCCACGGGGGTGTTCAGGGATCATTCTTGGCCCTATGCTCAGGGATCGGGGCTGGAGCGATAGTCTAGCGGGGAGGGCGTTTGCCTTGCATGCAGCGGACCTGAGTACAATCCCTGGCATCCCATATGGTTCCCTGAGCACCACCAGGAGTATTTCCTGAATGCAGAGCCGGGAGTATAACCCCTGAGCACTGCTAGATATGACCCAAAGAGCCAAAGAAAAAAAAAACAAAAAAAAAAAATGCTCAGGGATCACTCCTGGCTCTGTGCTCAGGAATCACTCCCGGCTCCATGCTCTGTGTTCAGGGTTCACACCTGGCCCCATGTTCAGGGATCTCTCCCGACAGGACCATATGCAATGCCAGAGCCGTACATCCCTGGATTATCTCTCTGACTTCCTCTTTCTTTCGCATGTGGCTCCCCACTGGGAGTCTATAGGGAGAGAAGCACCTTTCCATGAGGGCCTGTTGTGAGAGTGTGAGCTGCAGAGATTGGGGGGGTCTCAAGGACGCTCAGAGGGACAGCTCCCACTTTCTCCTGGGCCTCTCTGGGGATCTGGGGGTACGAGGGGAATCACCAGGCTGAGAAATGAGACAAGGACTTACCTCATAGGTGCTAATTAATGGCTGCACTGCAGGCTGCAAACACAGAGCTAAGTGTGGGGTGTCATTGGAAAGGCAGCCTGGAGAAGTGGCCCCTCCATCCCCAGAGAGCGGCAGCACCCCGCCCGTCACCCAGACAATGAAAACAAAACATGGGGGGAGGGGGGACCACGAGCGGGCCGCCTCTGGGCACTTTTGCTATTTTTCTTTCTTTTCTGTTTCTTTTTGTTTTCTTGGGGGGGGGGCACCCATGGCAATGCTCAGGGCTTCCTCCTGGATCTGTGCTCAGGGATCACTCCTGGTGGGCTCAGGGGGTCCTTAGGAGGTGCCGGGGATTGAACTCAGGTCGGTCACATGCAAGGCAAATGTCCTAGCTGCTCCCGTGGCTTCAGCCCCTGCTCTTTTACTCCACAGAACCCCGGACCCGTAGCTGAGACACCTCGAAACTAGGGCAGAGGGGAATCCGTGTGACAGGACAGGGCCTTGACCCAGGAAAGACATTGCAGTTGTGACACTTCACTCACGAGTGACCTGGCAAGGTGACCCTATCCCTCCATGGGTCAGAAAGTGAGAAGGATATCAACCTTGGCTGAGATGAACGGAGTCAAGGGCCTAAGGGTTCAGGTCAGAGCATGGTTTGTTGGGGGACCGACCTCCCGATCCCTTTTTGGGGCTCATTACGGGCCCACTCAGAAGCTCCGAGAATATGCAGGATGGAAACTCTAGGAGTCAACAAAGCTGATACAAGGGAAGCGGATTGTTTCATTTATTCTTAAGAAGGGGGTCACACTGGGTGGTGCTCAAGGCTTATTACTGGCTCTGTGCTTGGGGACCTTGGTGGAGGACCCAGTGCAGTGCTGGAGATGGAGCCCGGATGGTCTGGGAGCGAGGCAAGCGCCCCCCGTCACAGCTCTCTGTTTGATTTGTTTGGGATCAGCTCTTGAGACAACAGCATGATCCCAGCCACAGGCAGGGGCAACCGTGGTTATTTATCACCCTCGTGTTGTATTCAGTAGGTCACGGTCAACAGGATGGCTATTGGCTCAAGCTGCATCCCGAGGAGGGTGTGTGGCAGGGCGGGTGAGCTCTGACCCCCTCACCTCAGGACTGAGCTGATTCCGGAAAGTGCGTCCAGGGGCCAGACTACAGTCTGCTTCGGAAGCTGTGGAATAGGGAAACGCTCTCTCCCTTTCTCCTCTCAGAAATCACCCTACATCTGCTTTCTTGACTCAGTTGCCCTTGGTTCCTAGCACCCCAAAAGCAGGGTCCCAACAAGGGACTGAATGGACCCAGGGTAAGCTGTGAGCTACCCTGCCATCAAAATGGGCCAGGCCAAAGCACCACGATACTCAACTAATAAGTTGAAGGTATGATCATGGACAAATGCTGTCATGATCCAAAAGTAAGTAAGGACGAGAGTAGGACCTTGCTGGGGCTAGAAGACTAACCTGGCCTGAAGGACTACGGAATATATAGTGAGATGTCCTCAGGAAGAACCAAACTGTTAAGTT